ATACTGCAGCAAGACTGTTAAACATATCTTGGAGCACGTCTCGAGGGTGTGAATTCCAAGACAACCAGGACTAAATTCTGGTTACCGATTGACAATGTACATTATAATAGTTTGTTTTCAAAACATTTCTAGTTATATTAGGATGAAAAATCTTGAAGAGTTAATTTTTATTGGGAAAGACATAATTTGCTCTAGAGTATAGTCCCTATAATTTTCTTAAAATACAAACTAATCTGAGACATAACAATAACCAAAAGCCATAGTTCAAATTGTTGCTCATTGTTATTGCTATTAAACTGCTGTTATTGACTGTATAAACCTACAATGTTTTGAACCCTATCTTCTTTTGTAGTGTGCAATGCTCCAAACAGCTGTTAAATAGAACAAAAGCATAATCCATCAGCATCAGTCTGAATAACTATAAACATCCCATTTCCTTGAAGACAAACGTGGCATAGAATATGATCTGGAGTTGCCTAAATTTAACATCGGAATTATATAGTTCCTATATTTTTTAAAAAAGCAGCATTGAAAAGTTTGAATTTTATCCAAACTTCAAAGCTGGCATTTGACACAGCTGTGTTGTTTTCTGGCTTGGTGGATACCAAATGTGGAAGATTTAAAATTCGTATTTCTTGCATTGATGCTGGTTAAATAATCACCCCCAGGTTATGCATGTATTCTGATGCTGGAGGCTCAGAAAGATGAGAATCTCTGCTATTCATAGACTGATTCCTGCTGGCAGATTTAAGGCCCAGTTCCTGGGGAGATAACAGAAGAGTTAGCTGGCTTTATTTAATATTTATATTATTATATCACTGGGAGGCCTTGAACAAGATCAGGGACCCAATGTGCAAGGTGCTGTGCAAATGCAGCCTGTCTAGAAGAGCACTCCATAACTACAGATGCAAAAATAGCATTAAAAGCCTTCAAGAGAGGAAGAGAGAAAGCCCTGCAATGGCTAGCTGGAAAACCTAACTTCAATCCTCAATAAAATGAGGGGACAGGCAGAAAAATCAGTGATAATCTAAAGCAGGAGCTCCCCAACTTTTTCACTGCCTGGATCACATCTTAATAGAGTGTCTCTTGGACAACTTCCCTTTCCATTGGCAGTTGAGTAACGTCCTGCGGCAGCTACAGCAATTGTTTGTGTGGCAAAATAACAAGGCTATTTAAAAATTAATTGCTCAGTTTAAAGGCTTTTGTAAAAGGGTGAGACTAGCAGTTTTGGCCCACCACAGAGGAATGGCTACAATAGATGGCACCACCCCAGGGGGAGGTATGTTGCCTCCAGAAGCCAGAATGCTTCCTAGAACCCCCAGGCATACACAGGCTGCACAGCCACTACTAAAACCTCTCCCTTCAGCATGCCAGTCCCATATATCAAGGACCACTGTGGACAAGGGATGCCTGTACGTGGCCCGGCCTTCCCCCTGCCTCTCAGGGTACCATACACTCACCGTGGCTCAGGGACTGCAATGTTGCTTGGCCTTTACAAGGGAAAGGATCCTTATGTCCTGTCTTCAGGTTCACTTACACAAAGATCAGGAGGAATTAGACCCCAGATGATTTAATTGGTACTTTTCTGAAGATTGACAAGAAAGGTGCCATTTAGGAAAAGAAAAAACAAGTGATTGGCATGAGGTTTTTAGGATGGCCGCATTGAGTTCCTCCTCCCGCCCCCTCTGCATAGTACAAGTCCTTGCTAGTGTTCTTTTGGCACTTTGAAAGTGACAAACACTGGAGGGAGGGGAAGATCAGAGAAGTCTGGTCGTAGGAAACAAAAATGCTTTCTCTGATTGGATTCAAGACTTTTAAACCTGAACCTAACCAAAAAAATGTTTTTCCTTTTCGAAAAGCCAGGCTATTTTGAGCACATTCATATTTCTGTGACTCTCAGTTAGTTTCAAACAGTAATGGATGGCCGCAAATCATTCCATTCAAGGACAACCAGGAAGGTGGATTGGGATCAGATGTGACAAGACCTGGACTGTAATGCTGATCCCCTGATGTTTTTCCACACTCCATTCACTTTCAGTCTGCACTACTTCCTTGTTTTAGATCAAGGGAAACAGCAACAAGAAAAAACAAAAGTAAAATATCCATGGGGTGTACATATCTCGTTTGTAACTGGCTACAGGAATTCTGAGAGCAAAATGGCTGCTATCTCTAGACAGGACTTGAAAAAACTACTCACTCAGAAATTTTCCCCAGGCAAGTGGGCTAACACAGGCAAAGGAGCCATTGTTCCCTCGTGATAGGTACTGCAGCACCATTGCAAAAGAGAAGCAGAGAGATAATGGCACAGGTGCCCTTGCTCCTTTCACAGGAGGGCAGGCAGGAACCCTGAAAACAGATCCATGTGGAGAAAAGCTGCTAATACAGACAGTTTCCTACACATCCTGCAGCCCTGTAGCCCCAGAAGAGTCCAGTATTTGTTTATTTATGGGAGGTAGGAAGACCAGAATTAGTATTGGGAATGAGGGAACCAGTCATTAGTTAAATACAATGGTGGAGGATCAAAATTCCAGCTTTGACTAGTGAGGGCAGACGGAGAGTCATGTATCTAACTTGAAACAAATGTAAAATAACACATCTGGGAAATAATATTTATCTCATGCTTGAGCTAAAAGATTATCTTCATTACATGTCATTAGTCATTGCATTTCATAGCTTCATAGAATTTAAGGCCATAAGAAGCCATCAGATCATCTAGTCTGACCTCGTTTGTATAACAGGCCATTAGTTTTCACTCATACACTCCTATATTAAGCCCAAAGACTTTAGTTAGACTAGAATCATAGAATCATAGAATATCAGGGTTGGAAGGGACCTCAGGAGGTCATCTAGTCCAACCCCCTGCTCAAAAGCAGGACCAATCCCCAATTAAATCATCCCAGCCAGGGCTTTGTCAAGCCTGATCTTAAAAACTTCGAATGAAGGAGATTCTACCACCTCCCTAGGTAACGCATTCCAGTGTTTCACCACCCTCCTAGTGAAAAAGTTTTTCCTAATATCCAACCTAAACCTCCCCCACTGCAACTTGAGACCATTACTCCTTGTCCTGTCCTCTTCTACCACTGAGAATAGTCTAAAACCATCCTCTCTGGAATCACCTCTCAGGTAGCTGAAAGCAGCTATCAAATCCCCCCTCATTCTTCTCTTCTGCAGACTAAACAATCCCAGTTCCCTCAGCCTCTCCTCATAAGTCATGTGTTCCAGACCCCTAATCATTTTTGTTGCCCTTTGCTGGACTCTTTCCAATTTATCCACAGCCTTCTTAAAGTGTGGGGCCCAAAACTGGACACAGTACTCCAGATGAGGCCTCACCAATGTCGAATAGAGGGGGATGATTACGTCCCTCGATCTGCTAGCTATGCCCCTACGTATACATCCCAAAATGCCATTGGCCTTCTTGGCAACAAGGGCACAGTGCTGACTCATATCCAGCTTCTCGTCCACTGTCACCCCTAGGTCCTTTTCTACAGAACTGCTGCCTAGCCATTCGGTCCCTAGTCTGTAGCTGTGCATTGGGTTCTTCCGTCCTAAGTGCAGGACCCTGCACTTATCCTTATTGAACCTCATCAGATTTCTTTTGGCCCAATCCTCCAATTTGTCTAGGTCCCTCTGTATCCTATCCCTGCCCTCCAGCATATCTACCACTCCTCCCAGTTTAGTATCATCCGCAAATTTGCTGAGAGTGCGATCCACACCATCCTCCAGATCATTTATGAAGATATTGAACAAAACCGGCCCCAGGACCGACCCCTGGGGCACTCCACTTGACACCGGCTGCCAACTAGACATGGAGCCATTGTTGAGCCCGACAATCTAGCCAACTTTCTACCCACCTTATAGTGCATTCATCCGGCCCATACTTCTTTAACTTGCTGACAAGAATACTGTGGGAGACCGTGTCAAAAGCTTTGCTAAAGTCAAGAAACAATACATCTACTGCTTTCCCTTCATCCACAGAACCAGTAATCTCATCATAGAAGGCAATTAGATTAGTCAGGCATGACCTTCCCTTGGTGAATCCATGCTGACTGTTCCTGATCACTTTCCTCTCATGTAAGTGCTTCAGGATTGATTCTTTGAGGACCTGCTCCATGATTTTTCCAGGGATTAATGCATTTCAGTCCTCAGGAGACTAAACTGTGTCACAGGGAGAGACCAAAATGCCACCAACATCCATGGCCCCTGGAGTGGCAAGGAATTGATTAGGTGAGATATCTCCAGATGTTCATTGAAATGCTCTCCAAGCCATTAGTCACTGATGGGCAAGACCATCAAGTATATTCTCCAGGCCTGTTTTGCCTATAGAAATGAATGCACAAACAAAAATGCTGCTCTGGCACAGTGTATACTTGGCATACACACTGCTCCATCGTATGTCTACTTAGCTAAATCATATTTCCCTACAAGAGTTTCAGATCATGATGTGGATGGCAAATATACGTAATCCATCCCTTCTGGGACATGAACCTTGGATCCAGTTGAGTGCTAACAGGAGTAGCACTGACTGATACTACCTGTGGCAGTACAGGTACCCATCCAAGAGACATCATATCTGATATACAATGAAATATTGTCATTTTAAAACTTGGACTACAGGAGTTTTAATTTATCTAATCATTTGGGCCAGTTCAGTAAATCACCCCAGAAGAAGAAAAATGATCAGTCAGTGGACTTTATTCTAATCCACTGGCATGCAAAATGTTTAGATGCCTTTACCTAACATCAGGTCAGGCTTGAAGAGTCCCATTCTAACGTGATGTGCTATGGGAGTGGTAATTTGAAAAATATGGCCACTTGTTCCAAAAAAAGGTCAGTTTGCATTAAATATATAATGGCATCTTGTGCCAGCAGAACCAACCTGCAAAATCTTATGCCAGTTTCCTGACATGGAGAAATAACATTGTATATGCATAATAATACCCGCCTAAACTGACAACACTGGATGTACACTCTAAAAATGAAAGGAGTCAAAAGAGTCTCACCCAAGAAGGAGATATGGAGGAGTGATGGAAAGGGCAGCAGGGATGGAGAAAGCTGAATCTCTGAGTCTGGGAGAGCTTCCATGTCAGAGAAGAAATGACTCACCTTCTGAGTTGCTAGGAAACAGAGCTAGGAAAAACACAGGAGCTCTGGAGTGAGAGTTAACCTACACTACAACACTGCCTAGTGAGTGAGATGGTTGCCAATCTTTAGACTAGATACATATCTAGACACATACTATTGATTTTTCTCTCAGCTTTCTTAGAGGCACTGCTTACTTTAAGATACTTTTGGAATTAGGCAGTTATTGTGCAGTTACTGTGGGCTATTCTTGAAAACAGAAAAAATAAATGTCTGGCCTCTGGCTAGAGGTGGAGGGGGTGGATTTACCTGACCTGCACTCTTGTTCACAGGTGTACAACAGAAGGGTGTCCAGTCTCAAAGGTGCTTCCAGATGCTGAGAGTCTGGGGACAGCCTGGTTATTGAGGGGGATGGCAGGAATTCAGGTTACAGATATCTTCTAATAGACATCTAGCTGGTGAAGGGCAAGGCCATGCCAATGTTTTCAGCTAGAAGTCTGTAGTTTACCAATATGCTGGTTGTTAGACAATAGAAATGTAGATTGTGAAACTAAAAGGAAGGCTAAAATAAAGCACACTATAGTATCAAGAGACTATATTCTGCTCTCGAGTTGGAATAGACTCAATAATTTACTGGGTCTGTTCTATTTTTAATTACTATGGTCTGGTGAGAAGAGTAAGCAGCAGGTCATGCCAGAATAAATTGGATTAAAATCTCCTTATATCCTTTCTAACACTGATCCTTTACCATTAGGATTTAAATCTGACTGTAAATGAGTTAAATGGAACATTCATAATACCTGTAAATCAACTTGTCCCCTGAATCTCTAAAGAAATAATCATATTTGTATTTATATAATATGGCACTTTACAGGTTTGTTAGGACTCAGGAGTTCCTGACTTCCAAACCTATGCTCATTTCCCTAGACTTACTGCCTCATCAAATAATGGGAAATACTAACCTTTACATAAATGTTCAAACTATTTAATTGCAATGCTACTGTCATGCACCTGATTGGCCAAGTTTTCAAACAGGCACATGTAAAATTGTATGCATATTTCTTGCATACAGTTGAAGCATGCAGATACCCCAGTGAGCATGTGCAAATCAGGTTTTCTACACACGCATTTATGTCAAAACCCCAAACTGTGCATGCACATAAGAATATTTGGATAGAAGAATTTTGCAAGCATGCACTGCTAAAAATGTGGCTATCAAAATAACCTCTGATAGGTGATTAAATTGTATTCTAGTTGTTTACTTTCAATGGCTATGCACTGTTTTTTCAAATACTGGTATGGTGAGCTGTACTTACTCAAAACCAGAGGTGCACCGCATTTAACAACACAGGGTGCATCCTGTTTTCAGTACAAAAGAATTAGCCAATCCCTGTTTGTTTATGCGATGATGTTAGCTGGTCTACCGCTGTAATGGGAGTGCAATGTGTTAACCTTGTTTGTTTTGAGGCTAAATTACCAGACCTTCTTGTTAAAGAAAAAGAGAACCATTCTTAATGGGCCTTTTGTAATAGGACACTAAAAGTTAGACCTGTCCTTCAAACATATCTTGAAGCAAGGCTAGCGACAAGTGTTACACTTGAAAGGAAGTTTGAAGAGGCCACTGAAAAGAAAGCTAGTATGACAAAAGAGATTTAATTAAAACTTAAATTATTATCTAGTGACACCACTTAATGCCAAAGCAATGCCCTTGCACAATTTCTCTCTCTCTCTCTGTGTCTTAGGAGAAACAACTGCCCTCGATTCAGTGTTTGGAATGGAGAATGTACTGTGGCAAATTGCTGGCACGATTATGATGGGTCTCACGCTTCTTCTTCTTGTGTGTGTGTGTGTGTGTGTGTGTGTGTGGGGTTTCAGGGCCCAGTTTCCTGCCCATGAACTAGAGTATCAACTGTCCCACTAGTAACCCAGAGAAGGGTAGTGGAGAGGGAGGGACCCAGGTCCACCCTCTACTCCCAGTCCCAGCCCAGGGGCCCTAGGGATAGTGGCAAAGCACTTGAACTAGTGCTTCCTTCCCCTGGGCTACTTCCTCTCCTGCTCTTCAGCTTGTGCGGCTTCCTGCCCTCTCTCTGCACAAGCCAGGTGTCTCTTTACCTAGGGTCTTGGTCTTCTAAGCAGCCATGGCACATCTCCAAACTCTCCTCTACTTCAGCTCCCCCAAACTGCACTCTGTTCCAACTCCTTCAGACTGCTCTCTGCTCCAACTCCAAACCACTCTGTTCCAACTCCTTCAAACTGCTCTCTGCTGCAACTCCAAACCACTCTGCTTCTGCTCCAACTCCTTCCCCTGGCTGATTGGGGCAGGGGGGTTTTATCAGGTGACTGGCTTCAGGTTCTCTAATTGGCTTAAGGTGCTTTTAAGTGATCTATAGAAACCCTTCTTTCCTCTACAGGGAATAAGGCTTCTCCTCATCCTGGGACTTACATATCTGTCCTATATCACTCTCCTGCTGCCTTCTGGCCATGCTATAGCACAGTATATAGTCTTTAATTTCACAGTGGCAAGATGACATTTTAGAATTATATGGTTATGGTAAAGTACAGCAGTAATAGAATACCATGGCCATGCTCAAGTACATATAACTAAATGAAAGCAAAGCTCTTCCACCCTTCAAAAATCAGCGGAGGGAACATGCTCTTGAGCCTCCATTCTAGATTTGCTGCTTCACAGGAGCAGATCCTTACTCTTGATTTCGAAAGGGCCCCTTAAACTCAATGGGACTTGTAGCATAAGGGATGACTGTGAGTAAAGGGTAGAAGAATCTCTGCTTGAAATGCACGTTTGAGCATGGGCAATAATAAAACGAGCACTAACAAAGCTAGGTGCCAGATTCAGTTGGCGTAAAACAGCACAGTTCCAATGTCCCTAACCTTTAAAAAAACAGTGGCGGGGATTTGTTTCAAAGAGGACTGAATTCAAAATGGCAGCCCCTCAAGAATCTGTAGTTTGTCCTGAGGGAATCCTACGTTAAAGCAACACCATATGAATCCTCTTGAAGGGATTCGGGAGGGTTAATGGAGGGAAAAAGTGGAATATATGATCTTCAAAGGAAAAAAGTTGTGCATTTAATATAATGGCTTCACAATGCATAATGTTTAGAAACTTGAATCCAACAGAGTCAGTAGGGTTTTTTTTAATTAGGACTGTAGAGTTTTATTATTTAAAAGGTTTTATAAAAGTGTTCTAAATAGACCATGGAATTGCTATAGCAAATTTTTTCTGTTGGAAATTACTCAGCCATTTGGTTTTTATTTTTGCAAAAAAGTACAAGCCTTTTGAACACGCATTTGATATGCTTGTTGATGCATCACAAAAAGGAGATATGCTTTGAATTCTCCTTAAAAACACCATGTAAACACATGGCTTATGTATAATTGGAACAAAATACCATCTCCATATAGAGTGCTTTCACATGTAATTTCCTCTCTGACTACTGCATGTAAACATAGTTATTGTATTTGGGGAAACTCCCAGGCCTTAAGTAGTGCAACTGGGATCAATATCTTAACAAATGCAAATTATATTTAAAAATGTCCCTGTTTTGCAACAAGATGCCTGGATGGTAACAGAAAAAGAAACAGTAACAAATGCACTCTCTAATATAGGAAGGTTCAGAGGTATTTGGCTGATGGTTCCACTCCCCACTGTCTTGTGTCACAGAATTTCTCCACGTGTGGCAGATGTATTTTCCAGATTAAAAAGGAGAAAAAGAAAGATTTCTATTCCAAAGAACATAACCTTGGCAACAGGAGCACAGAACTTAAAGGTCATAAAAATGTTCAATATACATCAGGCTTTAAAGATGACAGGCATATGTCAAGGTTCCTTCCCCACTCTGAACTCTAGGGTACAGATGTGGGGACCTGCATGAAAGACTCCCTAAGCTTATTCTTACCAGTTTAGGTTAAAACTTCCCCAAGGTACAAACTTTGCGTTGTCCTTGAACAGTATGCTTCCACCACCAAGCATTTTAAACAAAGAACAGGGAAAGAGACCACCTGGAGACGTCTTCCCCCAAAATATCCCCCCAAGCCCTACACCCCCTTTCCAGGGGAAGGCTTGATAATAATCCTCACCAATTGGTACAGGTGAACACAGACCCAAACCCTTGGATCTTAAGAACAATGAAAAATCAATCAGGTTATTAAAAGAAGAATTTTAATTAAAGAAAAGGTAAAAGAATCACCTCTGTAAAATCAGGATGGTAAATACCTTACAGGGTAATCAGATTCAAAACATAGAGAATCCCTCTAGGCAAAACCTTAAGTTACAAAAAGACACAAAAACAGGAATATATGATAGCATGTAAGGCAAATTTGACAGAGTTCCATTTAGTTCATTTTGACTGACCATATACACAGCATCTATGAAAGTTTCACTAGGTCAAAGCTTTCCGGGTACAATTACTGGCATAATTTAGCTGATGCTCTGAAGCAACATGAAAAGTCACCTGGCCATTTTACAGCCTACTCCAAATGGATGAAGTCGAGGCTCAAGCTGAATAAATGCAATAATGCAAAAAACCTGCACATTATTAATGTAGAAATCTAGTATTGGAGGAACTGGCTCAAGCATCTAATCTCAATTACCCTCTTCCTTGCAAAGAGCAATTTGGCTTTCTGATGCTCGTCAGATTAGTTGTTCACTGAACGTAAGGGTAATTTCCTTGGTTTGGTAGAGCTTCTTGGGAAATACGACGATGTCATGAGAGACCACCTATGTCAAGTAGTTCATAAAGAAGCTATGGGCCATTAGTGCAGCAAAACAATTCAAATTGATTGACCTTATGGCAAGGAAGATGCTTGATAACATATTGATGTGGCTCAGCAAAGCAAAGTACTACGCTGTAATAATGGACTGCATTCCTAACATTAGTCACAGTGAATATATGTCATTTACAACAAGATTTGTATCCAAGTAAAGGCATAGGCGCCGAGTTTCTAATCTGCTGGGGGGTGCTCCCCCTGCAGCTGCCCACAGCCCCCACTCCATC